GCGTGCATCGCTGTCCGCGGTGGTCCTACTTGCTACTAAGCCGACGCCGTTCTCGCTCTATATTATAACTATCATTTTGAAATAAAGATCACTTATTGTTCGTCCCTGTCTCTCTCTGTCTGCCAAGTTTCATCACTTTCTGGCCACTATTTCTTGGTGTTCCATTTTCAATGTCACGCAGTGTATTTCTGCGGAAGTAAACTGAATCCAAAATTTACCTAGAAAGAAAATTTTCCAATTATAAATTGAATGAAAGATGAAAGGAATTAATAAATAATTATATATTTTATTTATTTAACAGTTGCAAAGACACGCCATATCCACAATTAGGATAATTGCGTGTAAATATGAAATTATATACAAATCAAATCATCGTGAAATTAACATAATTAAACATTGGGAAGCACACAAATTACATATTCGATGTCAAATTTTACATATAGTAATTATGAAAATTAGAAACTATTTTAGACGCGTAAGATTCTTTTTGAAATTAAATAATTTCTACTGCCCTTACTGCAATGGAAAAATTAATGGGAGGGCCTGGCTCATCAGTGTTGAACCCTCCCAGCAGTTTCGTCAGTTTAATCTACCATAATGGTAGATTAATTTTTCAATTGCAGTAAGGGCAGTCGAAATTATTTGATTTCAAAAAGAATCTTAGGGGTCTAAAATAGTTTCTAATTTTCATAACAGATGGCGCGCTAGTGCATCGTAATATAGTAATAGTAGCTTGAAATATGTACAGTCAATACTTTCGCCTTAAATATACATCCTGCAGAATCTATTAAACCTGGTGTCTTTATTGTAAACAACTTGTTTTGTAATACATTATAAAGGACTGCGGCGTGTGATTATAAACAATACTTAAAGTTACACAGCATAAGTTTCTTTTCTGTGAAAAATCAATATTTATTCCAAAGAGAAATATTTACTATTTCTAACTTTTTTGAATGAAGTATGAAAGGGTGAAAATATGAAGAGTAATGGCGAACGGTAAAAATGAAAGTGTCCATTACTCTTCATATTTTCACCCTTTCATACTTCATTCAAAAAAGTTAGAAATAGTAAATATTTCTCTTTGAAATAAATATTGATTTTTCACAGAAAAGAAACTTATGCGGTGTAACTTTAAGTATTGTTTATAACTTGTTTTGTATTTGTCAGGTAAAGTTGGTTTTCTTCCCTTAGATTAGAAGTTACATAGATTGCATTGGAATAGTAGAAGTTCTCGTTTGGATACTTGGGCTCTGATTTCCTCAGCTATAACATATACACACAACAACCTATATTTCAAATAGATCAAAGAACTCCATAAGACATATTACATCTTATTAGACCCCGAAAAAAAATCGAATTCATTATCATGAACTTTATTAACATCCTATAACTCGATATCCCAAACTCAGGGATATTTGCGTCAATACATTTCTAACATCATAACAAATTGGCTACATACAAGGAGAAAGGTCAAGGAGAAAAAAAGACAACCATACAAAAGCAATTGATTCAAAATTTTCTTCCCTCTCTTTCTCCCAGTTCAAAAGATAGTTGTATATATATATATCTACAAAATTGATTAAAATTTTTATATGTTCTTTTCTCATCTATGAATTCATGTAGCTGTCCGATGCCACCAAATTTTCTTTCCCTATAAACCGAAAAATTGGAGATTCCAGAAGTAGATGTTTCGAGTCTTGAATGTCTCCTCCGTAGAAGCATTCAGATTCCTTCACCGCGCCAATAGTTGCCAGAAATTTCTCAAAATTTCCATGATCAGTGATAAATTGGACACTGAGTTCATTATCATGGTCAAGGCTTACCATTTTGTTCTATAAAACAAAGCCTCGTTTTATCTGAGCGACCAGACAAGATTAATTTACTCATGAAATTCTCGGATCGAAACTAAACAAAACTGAGTGGAAGAATGAAAAGAAAGTTTTTCTCACAATTTGATATAATAAGAGAAGAATTATATTTTCAAGAGTGATTCAAGTTTAAAGAAACTTTGTAAAATTATTACGGAGCTTAGTATAAATTAATACAAAGCAATAACGCGCCATCTATATATAACAAATGAAGACATTAAGACACGAATGTTTCTTTTCACAAATAAATCAAACTTCTTTCCTTTCTGCGCTGAAAAAAAAATATATTGTGAGGGCTTGGCTCATCAGTGGTGAACACTCTCAGTGGTTTCACCAGTTTAATCTACCAGACGCTTCTTTAGAGCTCCAATACTGTATTGGATCATTCTGCTTTTATATGCTGCACTGAAGAGTGGAATCTTAGAAATGGTATTTAAGCAAACTATGGACATAAGCTTATAGGAAAGTAGAATTACATTCAAATATTTGCATCGGGCAATGCTCCTCCGCAAACAATAAGGACAAGTTAGGCATAAATTAATTAATATGTCAATTTAAACTAACTTCGGCTTAGCAAACAACAAATATTCACATATGCCATAATATCATATGTAGAAGTTCATCCTATAGAAACATTTCAATAACGATGTGTTGATTTATAAGGAGAAGAAAGTTGGATAGTAAGTACAGCCAGTCAGCTACATGTCATGGCTTCTGTAATTGTACATACGGTGGGTCACGTCTCGTTCCCTCCTTGCGATTGTTATTTTAACATACTGAGAATACTTTTGAGGCACCTGAAATTGATGATTTGGGGACAGTTCGCTTTGTCGTAGACTCGACGACAGTTGTCCATTGCTGTGATGTTCTGTGATTATCCGTTAGGTTATGCCTCCTCAATTCATAGAGTAGGGCCTCAGGAAGAACGGTGGTACTTACACCAAAATCCTATAGTCTGCGAGAAATCTTGAATGGATATGATGACCGAAGCAAAAATTAATGTCTTTCAACAGGACACAACTCAAGACCACAAGGCTTAGAAGGCACAGGTATTGCTGATGTTTAACGTCCTCAGTTACTGGAGTCTTTTTAGTTGGCCTTTCTCAGCTACTGTAATGGAGGTTGTTGTTGACAGAGAGGTCAATAAAGATTCCCAAAAACTATCCATTATGTCCTTGAAACACTAAACACGACGTGACCTAAATTGACAAGGTCATCATAGCCAAGAACTGTGCTTACTTTCTCACTCGTCTCGAGTCTATTGTAGCTGTTAATGGAGAAGGCATTGAAGAAATTAAAAATGTAATATTGTAACTGCCATTGTGACAATGTTCAGGTGCTACTTTGGGACCATGACCAATGGAATCTGGTTCTGTGCCCAGACGAATCCAGGTTCAGCCTGAATAATGATTCCCGACACTCCTACATCTGGAGAATAAGGAGCACACGCTACCATCCCTCAAAAATCGAAGAAAATGATGCCTATTGTGGTGTGATGGTCTAGGCAGGGATAATGACAAATGGCCGCACGCTCCTCCATGTTTTCCACTGCGTGACTCGGAATGCCCAGCGATAGCGTGACGAGATCCTAGAACCCCAATTCTGGGTTTTCCGGGAGGCTGTTGCCCTGGATTTCGTGTTTATGGATGACAACACGCCCCAACACAGAGCTGGTCTAGTTAAAGAAAATATGGAATCCGAAGACAAGTACAGATTGGAATGAGAGAGAGAGTGGTGAAGTCTCCCGACCTCAATCCCATAGAACATATTTGGGACTATCTGGGGAGAAGGGTATCAGCCCGGATACCCCCGCCAAGAACCACCCAAGAGCTAACAATTTATTTTGAACGGGCATGGGCTTTAATCCTAAATGAATTCCTGAACACCCTTATTTCCAGCATGAGACGACCGTGCAAGTGATGTCTGACAGTGGCAGTCACATCTCCTTTTATTCCCGCTGTTACTGGAGTTTTCTAAAACGACAAAGTCTTTGATGTAGCCTTTAGTCTATATTTAGAAGAAGTCAGAGACAATTTTGTTCGCAATCCGTTACCTTGTTTGTATTCAATAAAGATCACGCGCATACAATATCTTTCAGAGTTATTGTCTTACCCATATATATGCTAATAGGTACAATTTCCTTTAGTTTTGTCCATGGGTGTATCTTTTAAAAACAATTTTAGCTGAGAAAATGTCATAATTTTAATCATAATGAATATTTAACTGCACAAATTAAGCTTAATTTTAAACACAACGAAATATATATTATCTTCTTTGACATATTCTGTCATCCAAAAGTCCTCCCAGATGAATTGTTCCTTTATCACTAATATGAATTTGAGGCCAACAAGGTTGTTTCCATGACAATCATATAAAATTTTGACTTCAATACCTCCTGCTGCAACTTCTATCCACTCCAGCAATAGACAATATGGGAACCACCGATTCTAAATGCAAACATAGCCGTAAATCTCGCAAAAGATTCCGAAAATTGATCAAAAGAGCATTGAGACCAGTTGCTGCTCATCTGCAGAACCAACAGATGAATCTGAAGAAAAAGGTGGGAGGTTTTACTTAACTTTCTACACAGAAGAAATTGATTTTAAGTTGAACATCTATATGAAGTACAATATAATACACCGCGGCATGTAATTGTAAAACGATACTTGAAGTTTCACCGCATGAGTTTCTTTTAAACGACAAATTAAAATTTATTTTAAGGTGAAATATCGACTGTTTCTAACCTTTTAGATGAGGTATGAAAGGATGAATTATGAAGAGTAATGACGAACGGAAAAATAAAAGTGTCCAGGGGCGGGAATCGAACCCACAACCTTCTGCTTACCGTGCAGGTGCCATGTCCACTAGGCTACCCTGGACGTATTGTGGGTTCGATTCCCGCCCCTGGACACTTTTATTTTTCCGTTCGTCATTACTCTTCATAATTCATCCTTTCATACCTCATCTAAAAGGTTAGAAATAGTCGATATTTCACCTTAAAATAAATTTTAATTTGTCGTTTAAAAGAAACTCATGCGGTGAAACTTCAAGTATCGTTTTACAATTACATGCCGCGGTGTATTATATTGTATTATAAGTTGCTTTATGTATCATTTACGAACGGAAAAATACGTCCAGAGGAGCCTAGTGGACATGGCACCTGCTCGGTAAGCAGAAGGTTGTGGGTTCGATTCCCGCCCCTGGACACTTTTATTTTTCCGTTCGTCATTACTCTTCATAATTCATCCTTTCATACCTCATCTAAAAGGTTAGAAATAGTCGATATTTCACCTTAAAATAATCTATATGAAGTACCATTCACATTTTTAATTGAATACCTTAGCTCTAAGGATATTCAAGAACATATTTTATATTTCGTCATTTCAGCAAAAGATTGTCGACAAAAATGCAAATAGAGCTGAACTCCATTAGAACTTCAAAATATATTCAATCTCCAAAAATATTTAGGATAAAAAATCAATAGAAAATTCATATTATTTTTTTAATATCCACATGTTTTATATAATAAATGTCTATTTTCATTAGAAAATACTTTTCAAACTACAAAATATGTAAATGTATCACACATGTTTTATTTGCTATTTGTATTTTAAATGCTAAAAAAAATAAAAATATTATTATTTTAGATGTTTAATGTTTTAATATGATTCCACGTTAGAGATAGTTTGTTTCAAATTATATAAACACTTCATTTATTTCTATTCATTTAAAAAATATATATTTTTTATTTATTAAATTTCTATGAATATTCAAATTTTCTATATATCATCTGAAATAATTTGGTCTCATTGTTTCTCTTTTTTAATTTTAAATTTAACTATGTATGGAAAATTGTCATTATTATTTTACGCCTTGGAAATCGAAAATTTTAAGAATAATTAACAAGCACACACATATATATATATATATATTATTTGATATTTGAATATTCAACATACCCCTTGGATATATATCTATTTGATCGAGTTAAAACATATTTTTTCAATAATAATTTCAATCAAAATATCAATGTTTATTATTTTGAAAGTATGAAAGAAGGAATTTATAAATTTAGCAATAAAAAATATAAAAATATTAGAATCAAATATTTTAAATCTAATGTGATAGGATATGGCTTGCTCCATCAGTTGTCTTATAGTTCTCTTTATTTTTTCATGGGAATATTGACTAAGAAGACAATAAAAGTGTTGCACGATCAGTAAATGCCTTTTTTCTTAATGTATCTACCTGATCTAAGTACAAATTCACTTTTGTATTATTTTTCATTAATTGCTATGTTAGCACTCTGCGTTCCAGGAACCTGAGTTATTAATATCTCTCTATTTGTGTCATTCTGAAGCTTTTATTCTTAATTTTCCACGTGGCAATATATACATATATAGAGCGTGGTGGTTCCTTTTGGAGGTTTTGGTAAACATAAATATCCATACAGCATTACTATAATCTCCACGCTGAAGAGCGCCAACAGCGCAAAACGCGTTCGTGGATGGCTTTTCTTGATTTATCAAGAAACCGGGTTGGTCAAATATCAGGGAACAGGTTAAATCAATGTTTAGTTGATTTCTGTTTCACCAGATGATGCTCTGTTTTCTGAAAAGCACATGTGCTCCTTGTCTGGATATGCCTTTTTTTATTTTTAATTACAATAATTGTGTGTGAATTTAGAATATTTGACCTCTCTCTCTATAAAATATAGAATATTTAAAGAAATATAAGGGTTGGTATTCCAAGAGAACATAATAGACATAAGCTTCTAGAACTGAAGAAGTATACATATGCAACTTTCTCTTTACAAATAATTCGTCAACGCTTGCAGTATGGTTTGCATCAAATGATAGTGACTTTCATATATTTTGGACGTTTTTCAAGCACAAATTTCCCGTTAATAGATCGAGACTTTGAATGTAATAACAGCTATTCACTCTAATGATAGGCTGACGTGAAAATATAAAATAAAATTAAAATTAAATATAAAATAAACTATTTTGACATTTTTATTTTCTTAAAGTATTTAAATATGCAATAGTACAATTCACACTATATTTTTTTTACCCAGTAAAAACTCTTTACTGTGGTGTGGTGATAAGTAATAAGCACAAAGAACATCAGTTTTGGGAAATTCAGACCAAAACCAAACTGTATACCATGGTATCAGGCTATGGCCCTCTTAAATACAGGGATGGCCTACCAATAAGGTAAATACGATAAATTTCATAAATTCTCTTATAGAATGTTATCAAATTGAAAGTAGCTCTGTACTGATAAGGGCCATTACTCGAAATTATGGTACACAAGTTGTGATTTTGTCTGAATTTACCAAAACGGAGTTTCTGGCTTATTCTTTATCATCCTTAGACCTATATTGAACATTTAAATATCCTAACTCCTTCATGTCATTTTCTATAAATATATTCTTAACTGTCATTGCGTCTACCTTTTTAATTAAGACTGGGAGCACTACTCAGTAGCAGGCTTCTGATGCGGTTTTAAAGGGAGATGTGTCTCTTTTGGTACGTGAATTTTATCTTCTGCAACTCTCTCTCTCTCTCTCTGCTATATATTCTTGCACCAGGCTGCGGTTTGGCAGATTCTTCAGTCTTGATTCTCTCCTCAGACGCGTCTTGCATCTTTCCAGAACGTGTCTCAACCATCCTACAAGGTTAAGCCAGTCAATAATAAGACAACTATATATTTAGGTAACACCTAGAATATCTCTTTATTTATCACATTAAAGTTTAAAGCAGGTGGTGTATTCAGTGTATCAAAATACAAATGTTTTTATACTACATAATATTTTATAGTAATAATCTGTTTTATAAAAATAAATAAATATACAATTTAAATTTTAAATATATTAGAAACAATATTATAAATAATTTTAAATATTCGCGCATTAATCATAATGCAACAATATATTAAGTGATAAAACTCTTCTTAAAGAAAATATCTTTGTTCAGGCTCCCACAACTACTGGGAATCTCTGCAGTTTGAGAGCATTGATGACTTCAGCCAAGATGTTGACATCCTGGATCACCTTGACGACTTCCTAACACCTCAGGTAAGTACATACTGTTGACAATATAATACTTTATTTGTATTTCTTAAAAAATAATTCCAAATTTTAGTCACGCATGTTATTCTTCCGAGAAATTAAAAAGCAAGTAATAATTTTATAATTATAGAATAAGATAATTATCAAAATTTCTTTTTAGCATATACATACACTCGTACATAACTGTTTTGAAAATAGAACAATCCATATTTAAATCTTTAGATAATAAAAAGACATATATTGGATTAAATAAAAGATTTGTTTGCCAATATTTCGGTTGGCTAAACGCCAACCTTTGTCAAGGCATTACATAAAAAATATATATTTATATATATTTCAACTGTGATATTATGTTGGAAGGTTATAAACTCAAAAAAAGGAGCTTTTTCTATTTATTATGGTAATCTAATGTTGATGTCTACATCCTAAATGTAATATTATAACACTATGCGGCGCTGAGTTTGTTTAAAGAAAAATGTAATGCCTTGATAATTTAGCCAATCGAAATATTAGAAAATAAATCTTTTATTCAATCCAATATATGCCTTTTTATTATCTGAATATATATAACTGTTTAAATTACTGAATAATCCATACTCATAGAGCACTATAATAAAAAATAAGGCACTTATTTTGGATCATTTATAACTTTTGGTATTTCCCAATATTTCGACAAGGCTAACCGCCTACCTTCTTCAAGGAATAAATCACTAGAATTCTTATCTACACTACAGTCATTTAAACTATCAATGCATTATTAGAGAATTATGATATCATATAATTAACATCAATAATTGCTGTGTGACTCCAGGAGCAGGAGGCCCTAGTCCAGGACAACCTTGTCCAACATCCTGCGGTGGTCGCCCTCTACAGATGCTGCTGTCAACTTGCCTCACAAGTCAGCGAGGGCAAGGAGCTGGTTGACAACCTCAGACAACAGGTCAGTTGTCTTCAACTCCTGTCATACATGTTGACATTGTCGTGGTTGGGACAGCTCAAAGACGCTGAGGACAAGTTGTCAACCAAGGTAACATGATATTTTTAATTTCGGGTGACCTGGTTTTTAATTTAGATAATCTTGTATGTCCAGGTTTCAGCTACCGATGTTGAAGTCCACGCAGAATTTGACCTGGTAAATAACTGTTTACAAGTATATTGTTTACAAGATGGCACAAGTTTGAATTATTTGTGAAAAGAAACATTCGCGTCTTAATGTCTTTATTCGTTATATATATGGCGAGTTATTGCTTTGTATTAATCATGGTGTGCATCATATATTTATACCTTAGATAATAAATGCCATATATTGGATTTAATAAAATATTTATTTTGCCAATATTTCGGCTGGCTGAACGCCAACCTTTATCGAGGCATTACATGTAAAATGCCATTTATTATCTAATAAATTAAGTATGGATTGCTCTATTTTCAAAACAATATTTATACCTATATATACATTATCTATAATCATGTTCCAAAATTACGTGATTAGGTACCGCTCAAAAAGAGCAACCTAGTTTATGATATTTGTAACAATGAATAATATATGAAGGTTATTCACATATTAAACAAAATGTTAACGTGGGATTCGATCCTGGTTCATGACTGTCGGGAATCGAGGGTGTTACCCACTCTTACACCGACTCCTTATTTTTGTTTATAATAAATATATATTTTAATTATTATTTATATATATGATAACTTCTCTAAAATTTATAGGTTTTCAGTTATGAGGTTCAAAAAATAGTTTTATCTTTCTATTATGTGATTATTAGCAATTTTTTTGACAATTACTCAATTTATTGTATTAAAAGAGAGAAGGATTTATCACTTTTATCTTCTATGTTCTTATATACATATATATGGTAATTTAAACCAACAACCCCATACTGTCTATATAACTTGCAATAAGATTGTCATGTTGTATATAGAAACACATCTATAAATAATTATGCGCATGATTAATCTGTGTCATTGCATCGCCCTATGTAATGTAATTTGTACAAGGTGGATAAATAAATAAAATCTGTAATAGATTTAAGAGTTGAGCTAAAGCAGAGATCGAGCATAGTATTGCCAAAACAACAAAGTCTAAAGATGGAAGTCATATAAATCAGGTCGATTTACAATTCCC